AGATGAGCGAAAATTGAATCATTGCTTTCTTTATCTGATTTTTCTTTGACTTTAACTTACTGCAGTTGCTTGAATGCCTTTATAAGGATCAATGAGCAAATGCATTTCAGAAAAAAATTGAAGATCTTAAGGCCGATTCCATATGAAAGTAGGAAGGACTGTGCAACTAGAGTTATTTAATTATATTATAGGAAATTGGAAAATGCCATTCTTCAAGGAGATCGTTATTAAGAATGTAGTGGTAAACTTGGAGAATACATGATGTGAAATAGACGAACCATTACTGAAGTTATGAAATTGAGTTGATTTGATGGCATTAGGGTGAAGGATTGATGTAGGGGACAAGTACCTAATATGTCATCACTTGCCTTATTTGTATTTATTTGGAGATGTTAGCATCTATCGCTATAAGTGCAATGAATATGTAATCAAGTGTTGCATTACTAAAGTATTCTTTTATAAAAGAATTTTCTTTTATGAAACATTCATGATTGATTTATTTTGATTGCATTTTGATTACATTCCTTTTATTATTTCCGTTATTGTAAAAATTCCTTCATAAATAGAGAATACTTGTAAGACAATTACAATGATAGGAATATGCTTATGGTGGAATAGTTTTTTCGTGAGATTAATGGCCGTAGATTTTTAGTTTAATATTTAAGGAAGTGTTTTGGTGTTTTGTGAAGAACCCTTGATAACTAATATAATACATTTGCACAGGTCAAAAAGAGTTAAAAAATAAGTAGTCGTAGTTATGTGTTGTGCAAGCTATGTTTGACTTGGTTGTCTAGTCATGTTATTGATTTCTCTACTTAACATGTCTATTTTAAGCTATTTGCTTTGTTTTATTTTGAAATTAGTTTTTCATTCATCATCTTCCATCATTCTCATTTGATGATAGTTACTTCTCAAATTAATCTTAGAAAACAACATAGCAATATTCATTATATCTAACGTATTATCCAAACAAGAATCAAGAAATCTATATTTGATGCGCATATGCAATGTCAAAATCTCAGTCATCCCTTTGCATTTGATCCCACGGTCAGGATGAGAATACGTGGGAGGCTCACCTGGATCACTCCAATATCCTTCTATATTTGGGTAGCTGAAAAGGAAGGATTATATTGAGGCAATTATGTATCAATTAGAAGTTATTTATTTCTTTATTAAGACATCTTGTATAGATCTATAAATAGGGATAATTTTGTATAATAATCAGAAGGTATTTTTACCTTTCTCAAATTCTATGAATTCTAACATGCAACATTCCATCTTTTTTCATCTGCAAGTTGGGACAACACTAAATTTTGAAGCAAATCATTAATTTTCTCTTAAACCCAAAATGTTTAGATAAATCCACCCTATTATAATAGGGTAAATTAGACAATGATAATTCCAAAACAAATTCAATGCATTTTGTATTAAGTTGCCATAGTTTAGTTTATTAGGAAGCCCATTAGGATAAGTATCTTAAAAATTAATCCATACGTGTGTAACATCAAACGAAATCATATTTAGGCACGACATCATTCAATTTAATAGCTGCTATGCTACAAATAATATCTTTTTCTACATGTTTAGGCATGATATCATTCAATTTAATTACCCTACATTTATTAGCATAATGACCATTGTGATGAAACTTTAAACATGTTTTTTAGAAATATTAGACCTAAATCCATATGTATATGATTCCTTCTGATGTCCTAATTAACTTTAATATTATTAACCTTATAGATGTAGTAGACGCAATGGATTGAACTTAATTGCTTTGATGAATGATGTGCTCTCAAAATATACAATAATTGTTTTAGACGACGACTACAACAACAATAAGCCTTTATCCCACTATGTTTGGTCGGCTATATGAATCCTTTTTTCTCCATTGTGTCTGTTAAGAGTCAAATTATCATCTAAAACTAATAAATAAATGTCATTTCTAATATTTTCTAACCAAGTCTTTTTAGATCTACATCTACCTTTCTTAAGATAAGTCAAATCTAATACATCTACTTTCCTAGCAGGGTCATCGGAAGGCCGCCGTTTTATGTGACCAAACAATCTAAAGCCCTCTTCTAGCAATAGATTCAGTTGGATGGACATGTCATTGTGATTTGAATCTACTTAAGATCCACATACTTCTAATTAAAATACATGTATTGCGATGCAAAATAAATAGAATGTATTTCTTTTCGTTGGTTGCTTTATTGCATTAAAAAACAAAAGGCAATGTCAATTTCTTCTTCCTGAAAGTGCACTTCAACAAACGTCATATTCCCATCCCATTCAAGTTCAGTCAAGCATTTACGTTTAAATTCATACTCCTCCCCACCACCGCAATTCCCCAGAGCTCTTCCATTTACATTCCCTGTGGCTATTCATAAACTCCACTTCTTTTTCTTCTTCCCACAGCACCTCGATGGCTTGTAACCTTTGCTCATGAACTGATTAAAGTGAAACTCAAGAACAAAAAAAAATCCTCCACCGAAGAGAATATTGGAGATTGAACCTGATCAACGGAATGAGGCACAAGGCAAGCCGATGAGCAGTTGACAGAGTGGGAGTGGGAGCAGGTGGAGCCGGCATGAGAACGGGAGGTGATGAAAGGCCACAGGCAGCCCGACATTGTGGAGATTGAGGTGAAGCTTCTCAACATGGCGATGGAAACTGACTTGGAGAACAAGTGAGAGTTGGGAGTTTGAATGTATAGTCAAGTTGGTTGCATTTGAAAGGAAAGGAAATGAGCGTATTAAGGTATTCTAAGTACTTAAAAATTTTACTTTGCTCTTTACCTCGCACCGCAACAACAACAAGTCTTTATCCCACCATGTGGGGTTGGCTATATGAATCCTTTTTCTCCATTGTGTTATCTTAAAAGTTAAATTCTCATTTAAATATAATAAAGTGATGTAGAACGGATATGAGGATTGAGTCCTATGGGTCTTGAAGAGCAACTCGTGAGGTCCAAATAGTAGCTTTTGACACTTGGGAAATTCTGGACAGCAACCAACGGAGGAGGACATGAAGCTCATGTGTGATCGTTGTGGTTGCCAACAAAGAGAGGATAGCAGATTGAAGCCAGGAGAGGTTCTGGACAGCAGTTTTCTGGTTCCTTGCAATCTAGACAGCAACCTGCAATGTTGGGGAACAGCTTGGACAGCTTCTATAAAGATTGTGGAAAGGGAATTAGAGAGAACTCTCTAATAAATTTCAGTTTTGAGAGGATTTGGGAGTTTCCAAAAATAATTTGATCTCATTAGGAAAGGATTACAAATTCAATTTAATTGGAATTTGAAATTTGAATTCTTTCCAAAGTTAAGATGATTTAAATTAGGAAAGTATTTAATTTTTTCCCACATGAGAAGTTTTATTTTGGAAAGCATTAAGGATGTGGGAACTAGAAGGGGAAATCAATTCCAATCAAATTTATTTGTTAATTTGAATTAGATTGGAGGATTTTCCTAAAATAGAATCCTATTTAAGGAAATAATTCAAATTTCAAATTTGGATTGGGGGAAAATTTGAAAACTTTCCTAAGATAGATTTTATAATTTATGAAAGAATTTGAATTTCAAATTTGAAAAAATTTGAATTCAAAGACCAACTAAATTATGGCAATCCAAAATTAGAAATTATTCAAATTAGGCAATGGGGGATGGGAGAGGGTGTGGCCGGCGATATGAATGGGGCGGGTAAGGGACCGGCGGCAAGGTGGACATGGAGACGACGTGATGGTGGAAGTAAGGAGAGGATGAAGATGACGACTTCAAAAAAAAAAAACAAACAACAAAAGATAAAAGATAAACCGTGAGACTTGGACTCTTCCGAAGACTGACGGGTGATACGTTGCCCTTCTCTAAGGGACTTCAAGCCACGAGCCCGGACCCATCCTGCGGCTGGTGGAAACTCCGACTCCCTCCCATAGGGATTTCCCTAACGTTCTTCCCAAAGAACAAAAGTGCAGAACAATTTTTTTTTAAAACTCCATCATGCCTAATACAGGAGAAATGACCTCTATATATAGGCCTCAAAAGAAATTAAAAGACACATTTGCCCCTTATGCTTACATAAGACAAGAGGGTAAAAAGGGAAATTGCACAATTAAATCAAAATACACTTAATAAACTAAAATAAAACAAAGTGAACTCGGTCGTCGATCTTCAGCTCCTAGGATAGGCATGGACGGTTGGATGTCTGCATCATAAAGAAAGGCCATTTATACTATTTTCTAATCAAGTCTTTTTTGGTATACCTCTACCTTTCTTAACATAAGTCAAATCTAATACATCTAATTTTCTAACCGGGTCATCGAAAGGCTGTCGTTTTATGCGACCAAACCATCTAAGGTGACTCTCTCTAATATTATTTTCCACTGGAGCTACTCCAACCTTTTCATGTATATGTTCATTTTGCATCTTGTCTCGAAGAGTAAAGCCACTCATCCAATTGAGCATCCTATCTCTACAACACTTAACTTAATATTATGCTTCTCTTTTAATGGCCAACATTATGTACCATAAAACATTGCAAATCTAACTATCTTATAGAGTTTTTTCTTAAGTTTGAGGGGGACTTTTCTATCACGCAGCAAGCTGATGCATTCCTCCATTTCAACCATTCAACTTGAATTCTACTAATAATATCCCCATGAATTTCACCATCACTTTGAATAATAGACCCAATATATCTAAAACATGTACTCTTATTAATGACTTGATAACCCAAAATCACAATTCCCCCACAAGAACTATTAGTACTAAAATTACATTTCATATATTCAATTTTAGATCTACTCAAACGAAAGCCTTTAGACTCTAAGGTAGACTTTCATAATTCAAGTTTATCTTCAATTCCCTCTCTAGTCTTATCAACAAGAAGAATATTATCAGCAAAAAAGCATACACCAAGGTACAACCTCTTGCAAATGTCTAGTGAGAACATCCATGACTAAAGCAAAAAGATAAAGGTTTAAGATTGATCCTTGATGTAATCCAATTGAAATAGGAAAATACTTGGTCAAACCCCCTTTACCTCACACCAAATACCAAAAAAAAGAAAAAAAGAAACTCGTGCAATCCTTTGGCTTTACGTCCATAAACTAATTGATTTTTGAGAAGTAGTTGAAATTTCATCCATTTGATGATCTGTCAAATAGCCTGTATCATTTGATCTACTTTATGTGATATATTGGCATAATCCAATGTTTGATACTAATTTGATCAAGTTAATTTAGGTTTAGTTTTCTTAATTTAGCCAAGAAGATGATTAAATGAATGTAGGATCACACAAAAAAAATAATGATCCACTGCTCATTGATCACTAAAGAGATAAAATACTTGCTTTTATTAGATATAAATTAGAAATGAGAAATTTGAACCCATGTAGCTATCAAATAAAACCAAAAGAATTATTGTGAAATTTTGACCACGAAAAAATCAGCCATCGATTGAACTTTAACACCACAAATAAAAATTTAGTCGTGCAAAATTAGATCAAAATGAAGAATTTTAGCTTCGCTAATAACAGAATACTTGGAAGAAAGCATATAAAAGGAGTTTATTGAAGTGAGAAAGATCTAGGACGATATAGGCTACATCATTTACTTCGGATAAACTTTTAGATAGAAACTTTCATAAAAAAAAAAAAGGCTATTGAAGTCCATTTTAACTCACTCCTTCGATACCTTGTTTTGCAAATATTTATATCCTCCTTGTTCCGCAGATATTCTCCTGATCAAGGAAAAAATGTGGTGTCTTTTGTATTATAACAAATTGATATCATTAAAAAAAAAACAATTCTATTCATGTTTCCTTGATTTGAACCGTCTGAATGACATTGGAGGCTTCATCTTGCTGCTTGGTCTGGACATGCTGAGATAGTAAGCTATCTGTGCAATAATAAAGCTGATGTAGGAGCCTCCGCCATGGATGATACTGGTGCCATCCATTTTGCTTCTCAGAAGGGTCATATTGAAGTAGTACGAATCCTGCTTTCTTTTGGAGTATCTATTAAATCTATCAATAGAAAAGGCATGACTCCTCTCCATTTTGCAATCCAAGGTTCACATATTGAATTGGTCAAGTATCTAATCAGGAAAGGCGCAAATCTCAGCTCAAAAAATAAAACTGGTGAGACTCCTCTCGATCTTATAAAATCCGAGGAAATGCGGTCGTTAATCAATGAATTGGAGCAGTCTTTGAAGAACAAAGATCAAACGACAAGCAGCGGGACTGATGAGTTTCCATTAAAGCCATCGAATGCAGAAGATGTCAAAGATGTTCATGCTCTTAGTTCATGTGATCAGGTTGATACTGATTTAGATACGGATGAAAAAAGGGAGAAGAGGAAAGGCGATGACGACGATATTACTCAGGATAGCCTTCCCGTTCCAGATGCGAAGAAGAGCAAGGTATCTCTTGCGCACCTTTTAGCTGAAGATGATATAGAAGAAGAGCTTTGAGAGAAGATGACTTTATACGAGAATGAAAGTTATTGCTGGTATCTTTTTATTCCTCTACCTTTTCTATTTTTAGAGTTTTGAACAAACTATCACAACTATATTGAATTTTGAAAAGATAAAACTGTTGTACGCTTATTCATGTAAGCTTAGAGCCCATTTTGCAAAGTTTTTGGTTGCCAGATTTTGCTTTTTTATTTTAATTACTAACGGGCTTAATTTAAAATTGCTTAGTCTAATAATTGTCAGAAAATTAATTGTAAAATTTAAAACGTGCCTTCTTAAATTGATGATTTGCGTATCAGGAAACCAGAAAGCATGCTTTTTCAACGGTTTAAATTCTTAAACTGAAAAATTAATTAGTCATTTTGATTAACCTTACACTAATCAAGTTTAAGATATTATGAAATATATATATGTGTGTATTATTGTGTGAACATTTGTGATGGTAGAGAGAGTTTAATGCTGAGGGAAGGCCTAGCGCGCACAGGCATAAGAGATTAATGTAAACATTATAAGCGACATCAGAGTTTTCACTTAAAAATTCAAGAAAAGAAAAACTCAGAGGGGCTGACCAAGATAAAATCAATATGCCAGTACTTTTCATCCTTTATAGAAGACATTGATAAATATAAATAACACATTACAAGAAACTTAGCATGCATCCTAGTATTGAAGTTGGGAATTTGAGTTGATGTTGATGGTGTTTATTGATCTTGTAAGGGATGAAGTACGTTGGCGTAATTAGTAATAATAAGTGATGAAATCAATAGATGTTGGAGCAGCCGTGTGATAATAATCAAAATATTATAGGTTGGTGGATCGTAGTAGGGCTATAATGGCAGAAAGATAGTAGTCATTTGACCATGGTCGGAGGATAACAATTCGACCACGATGTTTATAGGGTTATAGTTGGATTACAGAGGTTGGAGGATTTTATTTGGGTGACGGTGGTCGGATGATCGTATTCGGGCGAGGGTAGTCCAAGGGTCATGATTGGTGGGCAACTAAGGTTGAATGATTTTAGTCAGGCGATGGTAGTTAGAAGATCATAATCGGGTGATTGTGGGTCAAAGATTATAGATGGTGGATAATGGAGGTTAGAAGATTGTAGTTGACAGGTGATGGATGCTGGAGGATCGTAATCGATTAAGGGTGGTTAAAGAACCATAGTTAAGTGATAGTGGTTGAAAGATCATAAGTGGGTGACAATGATCCAAGGACCATAGTTGAGTGATAGTGTTATGGGGGTCGTAGTCGAATAAAAATGATTTGAGGATGATAGTCAACGAGCAAAAGGTGTTGGAGGACTATATTCGATAAGTGACTAAATCAAAAAATTATAGTTGTGCAATAGATTGTAGTCAAAGGACAATGGAGGTCGAAGGATTGTAGTGGTCTATTTATGGAGGATTGATGACAACAATTGGAATTATGGCCAACTATGATGCTTAGATGGTGCTCTCTCCAAGATCCTTAAGAACCTTGGAACTCTTTTGAATCTCAAACTAAAGTTCAAGCTCCAACTCCCATTTCCTCCCTTCATGAAAAGAGTAAAAAAATTTTTTATAAATTTTTAAATAAAGATGACCCATATTGATTCTATTGATCTTAAAACATTCATTCAATCAAATCTTTACTAATGGCACAATTAAGCTATCTTATACCCATTAAATTAGTCTCATCAAGCTACTCATTCGATTATAAACATCATAATTTTGAAGATTATTTAATCATTTACTTAATATTATGAAATTTCTAATTACATTTCAATTTCAAGCCCTTGATTTGAGCTTATTTAAGCTTTAATTGGACAATTTTTGATATCAATGAATTCATCTCATCAAGATTTAAATTTTAATTATAAATTTATTAGAATAAAAATTTAGATCATCCTGAATTTAACTCTAATAATTTTAATTTAAATATACATTAAAATTCATATCCAATCAAGATGATTATTGATTACGTATCTATTATAATAGACTATTTATGAAACAATCATAACTTGTATCAATTAATCAAACGCTTCATTATAAAAAACAAAACATTACAATATATCGTTACATAATGAACCTTCGTTTGATGATGGTAAAAATAGAGCTGAAAAGAGCATCGTATATGTCGTCTTATTACAAACAAGCTCTATATTTTTCGAGATTACAATAACATGGACTTACTGAGCATGTGCATTTTCAAGTTAGAAATGGCGCATGTAGCGGGGCACTGGTCAAATATAAAAAATAAAATGAATACAAAAACGTTATTTTATTAATATAGAGATAGGTATTCATTTAAAATGGCAAAAACTCTTGGCCAAATGGTAAGAGATCCAGCAAGGTTACAGGGGCTGTCTCTCTCTACTACAGAAAGCGAAGGCACCTTGCAGCTGTGGCCGTTGAGGTGGCTCATTCAATGGAGACAGTGAAGATCTCATCTCAGGTGTTCAGCAAGAACAGACAGCAGTGGAGGCCTCCACTTAGCAGCTGAAGAATAAAAAGGTAACATTCTTCGGGCATGAGTACTTATAGGAGACGAGTTTCATATCTAACCGACATAACTATACCAAATAAGGAATACAAAAAGTGGGGGATTAAGAAGAACAACGAAATCAAACAATACATTCTTATTCATCTCAAGTTCAAAATACACTCAAGCGAGTAAGAAAAGACTGTTCTCTCTTGCAAAATCCGTCAGTCAAAATTTGAGATGAAATCAGTAGACATACAGTACAAAAATAACCATACGTCTGTGGATTCATCTCTACGGTTGTCTGGCCGCTGCTGTAAAAACAACTTTTTCTTTATGCACCGTAACTAGAGGTCTCGCCATAAAAATCTGCGGACCCATCAGACAAAAGGTGCAAGGATCAAAATTCTCATAACAAGTTGGAACAAATCCAGAAAACCACAATAAAACAAACAAGATTCTTATAAGAAAACATCTGTCAAACAACATTGATAAAATGAAACAAATTCCTAACAGTAGTGTAAATTAAATAACCAAAACGAAGCAGCATAATAAGATAGTAAAATTCACTTAAAAACTAACAAAGACCCCCACACAAATCAATGCACAAAATTGCTATTATTCTGCAAACAGCTTCAATGCTTTTCTTCGAAAGATCAAATTTTAATCTTGAATTCATGATATCTCAAGGAACCCAAAATTAATCATGCATTACAAAACATATACCTTCATTCTTCAAGAATAAGTGTGTAGGATTTGGCATTGATGTTCATTCAACACAACATTTTTTAAGAAACAGATAAGAATTATCGCACCACAGCTATACAAGATAAGTAGTACCAAAGAGGCAATTGAGTCGGACTAGGAAATCCAGAAACTTTCACCTCAAGTTCCAAACACACTTAGGCAATGCAATTATTGTGCTTCTGTAAAAAATCTTTCAGAATTTGAGATGAAATCAGTAGACAAATTATACAAAAACCATTTGTCTGTGGATTCATCTCTACGGTTGTCTGGCCGTTGCTATAAAAATAGCATTTCCTTTATGCACCAGAACTAGAGGTCTCACCATAAAAATCAGAGGACCCATCAGACACAAGGTGCAGGATCAAATTTCAGATGACGAGTTAGAACAAATCTAAAAAAAAAGCAGACAATCAAGCATTTTTTCCCAAAGAATACTAGAAATTACAATAGCTGGTATTATATATTTGTTAAGCAGGAGCATGCAAATGTAATCATTTCAAAGAAACAACTAGTGCAAGCTTTTTAGAGATTGTATAACATTCGATGAAATCTGTAGATTGCAGAATTATCTAGCATTTGTGGAACTGTCCCCGCAGTTGTCTGGTCACTAACTGTAATCATTTACATTGATTGCTCAAAGGCCACA